TAAAGTCTGGAATAGAAATTGCTTATAAATGTGATTAGACTCTCTCAAATTGAAAAAGAAAAAAATTATAATTCCGATCCATGCAGTAACATCATTTGGAATTCATTCAATTTAAATTGGTATTTTGTCCACCATAATTGTTGTGAAAAGATATCTACAAAAATGAGTCTTGGATAGTTTATTTGTGAAAATGTATGTAGAGCATTTTAGTTTAATAGGCTTATTTTAGGGTCATTCTTGGCGATCCGAACTGTTTACTTTTTAGTATTCATTGGGTAGAATATTCATGCAAACAATTTAAGATAATCGAATATCAATAAGTTTATATTTGAACAAATTTATTTTGAAAAAAATGGACGATATTTATAAGTTCAATAATAGATATTTATTTTTTATAATACAAATGTGATTCAAACATATAATTACTGATATTTGATCATCGTAATTTTTTGTATAAACATTTTGCAAAACGTGTCTTAAAAAATTAATGATCAAGATCACCAAGGTCAGCTTCAAAATATACCCACAAAGTCCAACCGCTATCTCAAATTAAAATTGTCAACTTAAAATAATCCGAGCCCATTATTATGAATATACGCGTTAAAGTTTTTGTTACATCCACATGTATTCAATTTTATTTACTATAAGAATTACGCATTAAAAAAGTAAATTGCAAATACATTTGTGAGATATCTAATAAATATAAATTTTTTATTTTAATTTGAGAAATTACAAATTTCATATTGTCAGAATTGACTTAATCTCCTTTTAACACCCAAAAAAAATTGACATATTACCTGTCACAACCCCATTCCACCCCTAGTAGAATGGTGCCGTGATGGCCAGTAATCCGAAGTTACCAAAGGCCAACTTACAAAGATTCACACAAATCAGAGTATACATATGGGGCTTACATATGCGGAAGCAATAAATTTAAATGTAATTAGTCCAGAAGAGCTGTGCATAAGTTAAATGAAATGGCATACAATTTAACATGGTCTTACAACTTGATTACAATGAAATAAGTACATAATACATCTTGATCAAAAGGCTTCTCAAACCGACATATACAAAAGAAATGAATTACAAAGCCAAGAAGCATAATCTTCAAGATGCCACAAAATAGAAATTCAAAAACATCTTGCAAAACACATCTAGGTGTCACTGCCTTCTTGCTCGTCACCTACATATATATAAGGAGAGGGTGAGCTTGGATACTTAGTGAATGATATAATTAATAAAGGTTTGAATGAATGATATCCGAGATCTTTATCAAAACAATACATATAGTAACTTGTACAAAATCAAGGGATGAACAAGTTCATCTATCAAGTCTTTCAAAGTTTCAAGGGATGCTTACTAGCATCAATATAATACAAGGGATTCCGAACAAACCCACGTGGTAAACCGTTGGTGGCAAGACAAGAAAGATATTTCAAACAAGGGTGCTAGTTGCATTATAGTCCCTTAGCACTAAGGACTTTCAAAACAAGGGTACTAGTTGCATTATAGTCCCCTAGCACTAAGGACTTTCAAGAATATCATCAAAACAAATATAATACTTGATATAAAACTAGGGATAGTCATTCATGCTTGATCAAATACTTTTCCAAAGCAAAGCAAAGCTTTATCAAAACTTTATAACATAGCTTTATTAAAAATACCACTCACATAGCTCTTTAGGTGTGGGGATTACAAGCAAGGATCCAAGGCCTACAAGCACATAATAAATCCCATTGAATGCACTTCAAGAAGACAAGAAGAGATGCTCAAGAATGGACATGGAAATGCATTCCTAAAACAAGTTTGCATGAGTGTAAATGTTCTTGGCATTTCCTTCTAAACTAAATCAAGACAAGGCAAAACATGTGTTGGGAGTTAAAACACTGTTTCTTATCTCGGGAAAACATGCTGGGTACCAACCAGGTCTCGGCCGAGGTCCCACACCTCTTGGCCGAGGTATGGTCCCGGTGACCACATGCAGGGAAATGGAGTCTGGAAATTCTGGGCATTTTTTTGAAGAACATGAAGAACATGAATGCTAAAATCATAACTTCTTTATTCAAAATCTAAGATTTCATGAGATGAGTTCGAAGACATGGACCTGGGTATCCATACTTGAAGATCTTATGAAAACAAACACAAAACATGGATCTTGATGCAAACTTTCAGATAAAACATGGTTTTATTTCAAGAATACAAGAACATCATTTTCTCTTTCTAAAACAAGATTTAAATCCATGCATGGCTTATGAATCATGCTAGATCATGCAATGTGATTGGATCAACATAAAGAATAACAAGAGTAAATCAAGAATCTAACCTCAACACTCGGATCAAACGGTTTAGATTCTAAGGATCAAGCTTGGAAATCTACTTCTCTCTCAAGAACTCCTCTTCCTCTCTTCCTAGGGCTTCTCTCTCTTCCTAAGACAAAGATATGACAAATGATGTGTTTTCTCTACTGCCAGCAGACTTAACTCTCTGTTGGGACACGTAGCAATGGCTAGTTGGCTCTCCTCAAAAAGGTGACTGACTGACAAGATAAGAGCATGACAAAGTGCATACAACAAGCAAAGTGGCAAGGGCACTCTAGTAAGGCGAGGATCTCGGGTTAGAACATCGGCTTCGGCAAAAAGGGGTTTCAATGATCTCGGATATGAAGGATAACACAAGGTCCAAATGTGCCACACCTTGGCCTAGATATGCCATACCTCGGCCTAGGTTATTCCGGTCCAGAACATGATCACTAGGTGTAAGGACATTTCGGCCTAGATGATGACATCTCGGCCAATATGCCAGGACGATGGTGGAGGTCAACCAAAGTGGTTCCAAGATGGTCCTAGATATAAGAGGTTCAAGGGTATGACCTAGGCTTAGGATAACCTCGGTTTAACACACACCAAGCAAGAAACAAAGCATGCAAGCAACACTTAAACAAAACAAATCAAGGTCTGCAAAAAAAAAAAAATGCAAGTTTAATCAAGACAAAGATCATGCAATGCACGTGAGCATGACTAGGATAAAGTGAGGGTTGTTACATTACCCTTATCTATTTTCTTCCTATCTAACTCTATCTCTAACTTTTTCTCTCCGAGCACAATCGATTCTTATGCTGCGTTTGGTGGGAAGATTTGAGGATGGATTTAAAAGGGGAAAGAGAAAAATTAGGTGAAATGTAAATACTGCATTTTTTATTTTTCTTTCTAAATTCCTCTCTAAATCTCCTAACTAAATATCGCGTTAATGTTTTATAACCATTGGCCACCACTCCACCATTCCTACTTACTTAGTTGCCATCAATCAACCTCCCTTAGGTTCTGTTGGTATCAACTACTTCCGTTGTTTCACTACAAAATCACAACATTCAATCACAACGAAACCCTTACTCCGTTGTCATTCACCACAATTTTCCAGCACATCATTAGGCAATCCACTATCATCAAACCTATTGTGATCAAAGAATTAAAAACTCACATAGGAAAATAAATAGTGAATTAGAGAAGGAGAAAAATAAAGAGGTAGATATCGTAATTGTGAGAGACTCAAGTTCGAGGTAAGAGCCCAAGGATCCTCTGTTCTTAAATAATTCTGTCCTCTGTCCCAAATCACTCATAACCATTAAATATGTCTTGAAATTCTCACATCTTAGAATTTTCATATAATCCAATAGTTGTGAGTGATTTAAGACAGGGGACATGATTATTTGGATGCAGTGGGATCCTTGCTGGAGGTAAGATAGGTAGAGAGAGAGAGATATCGTAATTATAAGGCTACAAACCTTGGCTACTTGAGAAAAAATAGAGATCCATCAAATACTATCGTGATTCTCTACATTCTCCTGATCCATTGGTTATTGCAAGCACCTTGCTTCACTAACCTCTCTTGTATTGAAAAACCCTTCTTATCTCCATAAATCAATCCATTTCTAATTCATCCCTAACTTTTCTATTTTCTTCACCCATTTCTTTATATTTCTCTATTACGTTTTAGGTTTACAAACGAGAATGGATTTGGTTAATAAATTTAAAATTGGTATTTTGAGAATTTTTAATTTGGATGTCATCAAAATTCATTAGTTGATTTAACAAGAGATTTTTTATTTTTAGATTGGAACAGGTTCAAAGGCCAAATTACGAAGAACATGATGTTTTCATTAGGACAATAAAGTAGATGCATGTCGGAACATCTTCCATCCAAACCCTTACCAAAAGATTGATGAGGGAAAAATTGTATTCAGATTTCGATGTAACATAATTTCTCAAATGCCGAGAGAGAATTTGTATTAATGATAGATTTCAAGGAGTGTGTAGTTTACAAAAATAAAATAAAATATTAAGAGTAAAGGTCATGTTTGTTTATCGGCGTGGGTGGCCGGATTGAATTGTTATGGCTGTAGATTTCACTAACAGCATGTTTGGTAATGATTTAGGAGAGGGGATTGAGGCATTTTGAGAAATTAGCTAAAAGTTAACTTTTAGCTTTTGACCCATTTTTGGTCATATCATCTCTCATATTTTTTACACATAAAAGGACAACAAAGACAAAAAAAAAAAAAAGAGTTAAAAAGTCCGCTTTTAACCAACTTCTCAAATCATCCTGATAGTGAGAGGAGCTTAGTAATTCCCTCAATAAGAGAATTAGCTTGGTTGGGTTTTGAATGAGATTAAGAAAATAGTGTGTGGATTGAGTCTGTTTTATATAAAATTTTTATTTTTTAATTTAATTTTTTTACTAAGTATATCGGTTTGTTTTAATATTTATTTTAGTTTTTTTTAATGTAGAAATAATTTTTTTTTATATAAAATAATTTAATAATTTCATCACTAATTATTTCTTATATTATTATTAAAATAAGTTTATTTTTATTTAATTCATTTATTAATAATTCTCATGTTAATAATTATTTTCCTAACTATACTATTATTAATAATCTCATTTAACTTAACCCGTCAAATAAACGGGGTGAAAGAGTTAAGTCGGTGCATTTAGAAGCATCCTTGGACATCACCGACGACTTTGCCATATAAAAAACATCTTAGGCAACATCTCTCTCTCTCTCTCTCTCGATTCGCACAGCTTCGCGTTGCCGTTACAGCACATATCTCATCAATACACGGGGATTTTTCTCTCAATGCTTCCAATCTCTCAGTATATGTAAATAAAGGTCAGTTAGATCCTTGTTTCGTTACCTTTAATCTTGATGCAAGAATTTCACTTTTCTATGTACTCTTATATTTTCTATGCGCTGATGAGCATATGCAATTTGATCTGATCTGAATCTAACAAACCCTATGAATTTTGGGTTTCTGTCATTAGGTCTTTGCTGAAACTCAATTTCTTAGTCAACTGTACTGATCTCCGTTTTATTTATTTATTTGATAAATATACTGATCTCTGTTTTATCCACTCGTTTTCTGATCTGGGTTCTTCCAGATCTGACACAAAATCACCCAAATACTAGTTGAAATGGAGTTCTTTGATGGATTCAAGATCTGGGTCTTGTTTGTTTGCTTGATAGCTGAATTGGGTCATGGGTTTTACCTCCCGGGTAGTTACCCTCACAAATATGGTATCGGCAATACCTTATCTGTGAAAGTGAATTCACTGACTTCAATTGATACCGAGATGCCCTTTAGCTATTACAGTTTGCCCTTCTGTAAGCCTGAGGAAGGTGTGAAGGACAGTGCTGAAAATCTCGGTGAGCTCCTCATGGGCGATAGGATTGAGAATTCACCGTATCGATTTAAGATGAACACCAATGAGACAGAGATCTTTCTCTGCAAAACAAGTCCGTTATCAGCTGATGAGTTTAAGATCATGAAAAGGAGGATTGATGAGATGTATCAGGTTAATTTGATTCTTGACAATTTGCCTGCGATTCGGTATACCAAGAAAGAGGGTTTTTTCCTGCGGTGGACTGGGTATCCTATTGGAATTAAGGTTGAGGAATCGTATTATGTGTTTAACCATTTGAAATTTACGGTTCTTGTTCATAAGTATGAGGAGACTAATGTGGCCGGTGTGATGGGTACTGGGGATGCTGCTGAGGTGATCCCAACAGGTCACCCTGGATTGCAGGTTCCAGGTTACATGGTGGTTGGGTTTGAGGTGATCCCTTATAGTTGCCAACATAATGCTGAATCTTTGAAAAAATTGAATATATACGATAAATACCCATCTGCAATTAAGTGTGATCCTGGCATGGTGTCTATGGTGATTAACGAAGGTGAGTCTATTGCCTTCACCTATGAAGTCACGTTTGTGGAGAGTGATATCAAATGGCCATCAAGATGGGATGCATATTTGAAAATGGAAGGAGCGAAAGTCCACTGGTTCTCAATTCTCAACTCTCTTATGGTAATTACCTTCTTGGCTGGTATTGTCCTTGTTATTTTCTTGAGGACGGTGAGGCGTGATCTGACCCGTTATGAGGAGCTTGATAAGGAGGCTCAAGCCCAGATGAATGAGGAGTTATCGGGGTGGAAACTTGTTGTGGGTGATGTTTTCCGTGCTCCAACCAATTCTTCACTTTTATGCGTAATGGTTGGAAATGGGGTCCAGATTCTTGGGATGGCTGTTGTTACGATATTGTTTGCCGCACTTGGATTCATGTCGCCTGCTTCTCGTGGAACACTTCTTACGGGTATGCTATTCTTCTACTTGATTCTTGGAATCGCAGCTGGTTATGTTGCTGTTCGCCTTTGGAGGACAATTGGCTGTGGTGACAAAAAAGGATGGGTTTCAGTCTCTTGGAGGGCTGCATGTTTCTTCCCTGGTATTGCTTTCTTCATTCTAACGTCTTTGAATTTCTTATTGTGGGGTAGTCACAGCACGGGGGCAATTCCGTTGTCTCTGTTCGTAATTCTCATTTTGCTCTGGTTTTGCATCTCGGTTCCCCTTACCTTAGTAGGTGGGTACTTTGGGGCAAGGGCACCTCATATCGAGTACCCTGTACGAACCAACCAAATCCCTCGGGAAATCCCACCTCAAAAATACCCATCTTGGCTTTTAGTTCTTGGGGCTGGTACTCTTCCATTTGGAACACTTTTTATCGAGCTCTTCTTTATTATGTCTAGTATTTGGATGGGTCGTGTTTACTATGTATTTGGATTTCTCTTCATTGTCATGATCCTTCTAGTGGTTGTTTGTGCTGAGGTTTCTCTTGTTCTAACCTACATGCATATTTGTGTTGAGGACTGGAAATGGTGGTGGAAGTCCTTCTTTGCTTCTGGTTCGGTTGCCATATACATCTTCCTATACTCCATAAACTATCTCGTATTTGATCTTAAAAGCTTGAGCGGACCCGTTTCTGCGACTCTTTACTTGGGATATTCACTTTTCATCGTTTTGGCAATTATGCTTGCAACTGGAACAGTTGGCTTCCTTTCTTCGTTCTGGTTTGTGCATTACCTGTTCTCCTCAGTGAAGCTGGATTAGAAACTTGACCAACTCAAAGATATGGTTGTTGGAAGAGCGAGGCAGGTCGTCATAGATGTGAGAAAGAACACACTTCTAATTGTCTCTGCATATGTTACTTGTCTTTGTTATTTGCAAGGAAACTTGTTTAAGGTAATAAGACTAAATCCGAGTCTTGTTTTGCTTAATTCTTTTTAGTTGTGGTTATCATTGCTTATAATACCTGAATGCAGTTGAGTTCTGTCAGATAGGATGTATTTGGTTAATGATAGATTTGATGTGGGTTTTCCAACTTGTATTTCACTGTTTTGGTCCAATGTATTGTTATGAAAATGTTAAACTTTTCTTGAATTTACAATCGGTTGTGGATTTATAGTTTCGCTTGAGTTGCTTTTCTTTGGGTATATTTTCATTGAGTTTGTATGTGTACATGAAGCTGGAATATCTGCATCAGTGAACATCAATGATTTTAATCCATGGTTTAAAAAAATAATAAAAAAGAAAAGGAAACAATGATATTAATCATTTGTCTAAAAGGGCGACTTGACGCAAGACTTGTAAAACAATAAAAATGTTCATTTTATTTTGGAAAATTTCCAAACAAATATGATTGAACTTGATACTTCCATTAAGCGAAGTCAGGAAATCACATAAAATTCATTATGTATTTAGTTCATGACCTTATATTGAAATTCAACATTTCATTAAATTTTGAGAATATCAGAATAATGACATAGGAGTAAAACAGTTTATTTTTAGTTTGGTTTTGTCTGTGTCAACATTCACTTTATTTTGAATCCAATCTTAAAGACTACATTGGTTTTGATTCGAATTTGGTTTTCGTTTTTAATAAGTAATATATTTATATTTACTCACAATAATTTGATTAATTTGATTCTACGAAATTAAAAATTTATTTTCAGTGATATTTCTTATTATAATGTGTTCATCTAGGACAGATTTTTTTTTGGGTTTTGTACACTAAGGCTTCGTTTGACATGATCAAAAAAAGTTAAAAAGTCACTATCTTATTTAAGTCATATCATCTTATTTCAGTCACATCACTTTTCTATCACATCATTTCAAATTCAACCCATATCCAACTCATATTTCATAAAAAGTTAAAAAGTGTACTTATTTAGTTTATCCCAAATAATTCCTAAATTATGAATTTGTGAAGACAAATTTTATTGCATATTCTGTGGTAGAATGGATTTTAAATTTGTTACTGTTTTGAGTTTTGGCTTCTGTGTTTCTTTGATTATATGCAGGCTAGTTTTATTTTCAAGAAACAAAGATATATATATATATATATATATTTCCTGTGTAATTTTGTTTGTATAGAAAGATATCGAGTTGTTTTATGAAGTAGGTTAAAAGTTAATTTTTTTATTTTCGTTTACTTTTTTGAAAACATATAAAAAAAAAATATATAATTCAAAGGATGTTAAAAGTCAAAAAAATTGGCCTTTAGGGAAGCCATTGTCCAATGTTTATAATTGAATATGCCGATATGCTCTGCTTGAATCAGTCGTTTGGTTTCGGTTGTATTTTACCTGATTAAGTTTTATACGGTCGTTTTGACTCTGTTAATCGTTTGGTTATTCCGTGTTATTTATATGGGCCATGCTACATCCCCTAATTTTTGCCCCCCTAATCCCCCTAATTTCCATATCAAGTAAAAAAAAAAAAAAAGGAAACAGTTGCCTAAAATGGAAATTAGGGGGATTAGGGGGCTATTTTTAGGGCTCCAAATCATTTTCCTATTTATATACATTTTTTTTTTGTCTTTGTTAATTTATATTTCTTCTGTCCTAAAATATTAGTCATTCGTTTTATTTTTTTATTGTTCTGAAATATTAGTTAATTTTTAAAAATAAAGGAGAAAAATAACATAAATTTTTTATTTTGTCATTTTTTAAAATTCATTAATATTAATATACACAAAAAAATATAATTATGACAATTGATCTTTAAAAAAGAAAGTCAATGAGTAGTTTTGGAAAGTTAATATTTTTGAAGTATAATAATTGTACTATAAAAAAAAATTAGATCCCTGAACTAATATTTTGGGAGTGATGGATTACATAACTTCGTTTTCTGTTATTAACCAGAATTTGTTCGGTTTTATTGTGTTATTTTTATTCAAGAGTAATATTATAGAAATAAAAAATTCATACATAATTTTTATCCATAATAATATGGCTTATTATGGGCCATTTACTTCAAAACAATACACCATAATTTTCCTTTATTCAATACCGAATGCGCACACCAACTGTTTACAGGTTTTTTTTTTTTTCTTCTTTCTGTGTTGATTTAATTTGTTGGTGTTCAAATTTGGTTTATATAAATACATATTTTGTTTATGGTTTTTATGAAAATAAGTTAGTTATACAAAATACAATATTTTTTTGTGATATCCCTCTTTGAATCTATCTTAATGAGATTGGGTTTGAGCGTTATAACATAATTTGCTTCTGATTTTTTGTTCAGTTTTATTTCTCATATAGTTGTGCTAATAGGGAGTAAGCGACTGACCTAACGTAGGTAGTTCAGAGGTCAGGAACTCCCTAATAACTATCTACCCGTAGCCCAAAAGCGGGAGGTTGAGAGCCTATTAGGCAGTGTAATTTTAGCGATAATGACTGAGACCCCCAGCTGGGGGTGCTGGGGGTCAGCTCCCATTGGACAAAAAAAATTGTTTTTTTTTTTTTTTTTTGAGATTTTCTATTGTGTTATTTTTATTCAAGAGTAATATTATAGAAATAAAAAATTCATACATAATTTTTATCCATAATAATATGGCTTATTATGGGCCATTTACTTCAAAACAATACACCATAATTTTCCTTTATTCAATACCGAATGCGCACACCAACTGTTTTTTTTTTTTTTTTTTTTTCTTCTTTCTGTGTTGATTTAATTTGTTGGTGTTCAAATTTGGTTTATATAAATACATATTTTGTCTATGGATTTTATGAAAATAAGTTAGTTATACAAAATACAATATTTTTTTGTGATATCCCTCTTTGAATCTATCTTAATGAGATTGGGTTTGAGCGTTATAACATAATTTGCTTCTGATTTTTTGTTCAGTTTTATTTCTCATATAGTTGTGCTAATAGGGAGTAAGCGACTGACCTAACGTAGGTAGTTCAGAGGTCAGGAACTCCCTAATAACTATCTACCCGTAGCCCAAAAGCGGGAGGTTGAGAGCCTATTAGGCAGTGTAATTTTAGCGATACATACACTACATCACGTTTAAGCACTTCATTATTAGTGGCCCTTCCCCTGAAGGAGAAACATCCATGAATGTAGAACCACTGATATCTTTCTTCTCCTTCTGCTTATGAGGCAAAGAGAAGCACTTCTGCCATTGAGAAAGTGAAACATAAATCCTAAACCCTACAGTTTAAAATAGGACTGTCAACGGATTAGATTTGACTTGAATCCGATCCGATCTGATAATTTGACTAAACCTGAACCAATTAGTCCGATTGTTAACAGGTTGCTTTGAATAAATTCGATCCGATCTAGTTAAATATCCGATTTACGGAGCCGGCTTAACCCTTAAACCATTAAGCCAATGCTTTAGGCCACAAATATAACCAAGGTCCCAAATTTTTGAAAATTATAATTAAGGCTTATATAATTTTATCATTGTTTTGTTAAGAAAAAAAAAGCTCCACCCATTAAGAAAGAATGTCTAAAATTGTAATTTAAAAAAAGTAATATTATATAAACAATTTTTTTTTAGTAATTTCTTTACTTACTAAAATAAATGTATAATATGAGTAATGATACATAAACTAACAATGTTTACAAATATTTCTTACTCTTTAACATGACATCTTTTGTAATACTCTGAAATAAATACAATAAACTATCCACGATGATAAGTAAATAACAATATGAATCAGAATATAATATCCTTCCATTACGTAAGGCTCAGTTGTACAAAAGGGTGACACATGCGAATATATATTCATAAGTCCTAACATTGAATCTATAGCATGTGTCAACAACAAAGATATGAAATAGAAGTTTAACAGATAATAGAAATACCCTGAAGGTTACAACTTTCCAAGACTATACTTGGTTACGTCAAAATGAATTTAAATCCAATACAGATAAAACCTTAGGCTTGTCTAAAATAATTACAACAAACACGCAAAATAAAGCTCTAGCTCCTTCCAAGCTACTGCCTTGGCGGAGGTATCTCACCAATATCTAAAAATAGTTTTCCCATATAGGGTGAGTCAAAACTCAGTAGAAATAATCCAACACAATATATGAATCTTAATAAAGTTATAAGGGTGAAATGCATATTCAATGCTCATATCAAAACGTTTTACAATTCTTTCCCAAAAACCATACCATGCTCAGTTTATATCACAATTCTCAAGTCATGTCCTTTACAATAGAAAACAAGGGAGAAATCTCAAACCAGTATGATCTTTCACAGATATTTCGTCCGCAGGAAACCGTCAAACGACACCTATGTAAAAGTAGCCTATACAAGCGCTACTATTGCCATTTTACGGATATTTCGTCGGTGGGAATCGGCACCCATGTATATGTGCACTTTTAGGAACTGTAAATCAAAGTATTATATTACAACGGGAAAAAATATCAGAATCATACCTTGTAGCGAAGAACCTCGTGGGTAAATTACGTACTTCCAAAATCTGAACAACGAACCCAGCAGTGGAGTGATACTACAAAATGAGTATCACCCACACAAGTCACAGTGCAAAATGACTTGATTGTTGTTTTATAGGAGAGAGTCAGAGAGAGAGAGAGTATGGGAAAAATGGTTATGGGTAAAAAATCACATAACATATATCTGATATATGTATCTCATAGATTAACCATATAATCTGATATATAACCACATATATATCAATCTATCCATCTATCCATATCTATTGATATGATAGATATAGATATCCTGAATGATTATCTAAACAAGTTTTGAATTCAAATTCAAACTTATGTGGATAAGGCTCAAAAGGTTCAGGTTCAAAGGGTCATGCCACATATACGCCCAATTTCTAACATCTCCCACTCGCACATGAGTTGGCATGACATTGCCACATCTCTTATCTCAATCTCCCCAAAAAAGAACAATCTCATACTAGTCAATGCACCGTGCGACTGCTGAGAACACCTGCATGTGGGAACTCTATACTAGAAACTCAAAATGAGCCAGCATAAAGACATCAACTCAAAAAGAACAGAAATAGTGTCTCATATACCCCAGACCCATCTAATTACACCGGTCCAAAAAAAAAAAAAAAAAAAACAAAAGAGAATGTTTGACCCTCTCAATTCTTGCATATATTCACACTCAATCTACTTCTCATACAGAGCGATGTGAGTT